TTATGGAACTAAAGAAATGGTTTCCTGGGACTGGTGGCATTTGTCCAGAGCTCACTGATAGATGAGGGTGGGTAATCTGGGCAATAGAGCACCTTCCAAGCCTGTCTTGGAGGGCCAAGACACATGGCCTCAGCAGCTGCAGTGGGGAGCACAAGCCACCTCCAGCAATGAGGTGTCCCCAGCTTGGCTCTGCTCTGTGCACATCTTGTCTGAGGCACATCTGCTCCCACACTGGGATCCTCCTGAGCCCGTGTAATGAGCTCACACTTCATTCCTGGGCATTTCCCTCCCTGTTTTCCTGTCCCCATGTGCTCAGCCGTGGTTCTGGGAGGCTGAGTCCAGCTTGTGACTGTTTCTGAGCCCGAGCTCAAGGCTGGGCTCTGGAGAGCAGCCTTGTCCCCTGCAAGCAGCCCCATGTGTGTGGATCTGGAAGACATCCATCACGTGGATCTGGGCTGCAGGAGCAGATGAGGCCAAGGGCTTTTTTGGCTTTCTCCTCTTTTCCTTCCCCCCCTGCCCCTAGAGCTGCACCCAGGTTGTTTTTCAGCTGTGGTTTTGATAACATGTTTATATAAACACCCCAGCTGGAATCTGCCTCCCTCCCTGGAGACACTGCCTGCCTCCAACCTGGAGCAGACCATGTCCCCAAGGGGGCTCACACCATCCTCAGCCTCCTCCAGCCTTAAGGGACAGCAGCAGAGATGCCACCTCGGGGACAGAAAGGACCTTATGGTGGCAGGGGACATCCAGCTGCTTAAATTCATTTTAAATTCAAGCATTGGGGTTTGGTTTGGTTCTGCTGCTGATGGTTCAGGTTTGTCCTTGTGCCCTGCCTGCACAGGGCTCCTCTCTGCTCACCTCTCTGCTCCTAATGGGCTCCTAATATTTGGTGGTAGGAGCAAGGCAGATAATTGTTTTCCTTTCCTTATTAATAGATATAAAATGCCTGCCCAGGGGGCTCACTTTCAGCTCATTTACTGTGCATCTGATGCCAGATGTTGGCTTTTTACAACGCCAAGGTGATCTCTGATGCTAAAATTGTCACAGGCAAGACAAGACTTGCTCTTTGGTTTTGTGTTTTAAGGAAATTGTAGATGTTAATGTAGGATTTGGGGACTGGGTGGTTTTGTGAGGAAATCTGAAGGATTGTTTCCCTTAACATCAGGTCAACAGGGAAATTCCTGATCTTTTTCAGAAAAATGTGAAAGGAGCAAGAATGGGCAAGAGCTAATCCTTGCTTTAGTCTCAAATACAGCACTACCTGGATTTTACATCCAGTGATGCCTCTGGTTTAAATCCAGTGCTACTCTGGGGGGAAAGGCATGATGAAAAAAAAAATGCTCCACATTAAAATTTCTGGCTCCTCTCATCTCAGCCTCAGTCAGGTGGCACTCTGCCATCCCTGCTGTGCTTTTGACAGCCCCAGGGTCCCCAGAGAGCAGTGCAGGCTGGTGCATCAGCTGCAGGCTGCCTTCCATGGGCTCTCCTGGGGCTGGGTTTGCTCCAGCCCCAGCCAGGGCAGCCTGGAGGATTTGCAGGGCTCTGAGAGGGACCAGGCAAGGACAGAGCCAAGGTGCTGCTGCTGGTTTGCAGGTGGCAGGTGCAAGGCTCAGGGGCTGGGGGTTCATCAGCTGGAACAGTCCCCAGTGCAGACACACCCACCTGCAGCTGGAGCACCGAGGGGACCCGATAAAGTTAACCCCTTAGCTGCCCAATGCTGTGCCCACCCGAGGAGGGAGGATTTGATGTGCATGAAGGGGAGGAAGGAAGCGAGCCAAGGTCTGAGCGGGTATGGAGGTCATGGATTGTCAGGGAATAGGGCTGGGGAGGGGGCTGCTGGCCAGTGGCACTGTCTGTAGCTGTTCCTGAAGGATGGGCCCCTGGCAGCAGCAGCAGCTCTGGCTGCTGATTCACCCTGCCAGTGCTGGCAGCAGCAGGAGAGGGAGGGGGAACAGCAGAGACCAGCACTGGGCAGGGGGACAGCAGAGACCCAGCAGTGGGCAGAGGAAGGGGAGCAGCAGAGACCCCAGGGCAGTGGGACCCCCCGCGCCCCAGGGGCCAGGGCTGGCTGCTGAGGCTGTTTCATAAAGAAATCTCCATGAGAGGAACTGAAAGTGCAAGGGGAAGTGACAGAAAAAGCACCAGACGAGGGATCTTCGGTGTTTTTTTTTTTCTTTTAACGGCAAATTAAGCCCTGGTTTTAATGCTGTCATGCCTTCCAATCTTGAAATGTGGGCAAACGAGGCTTTTTGCTTTCTGTGCATCATTTGACGAAAATCAAAGCTAGCAGTACTGAAGGCCCATTTTATTCATCTTCTGAATGAAAGGATTATTAGAACTGCTCTTTGGCTTGTTCTCCATGCCCTGAACACCTCCATGCACACATGCCTGCATCCCTCGAGTTGCCCTGACATCACCTTTGACCGTAAAAAAATATTGCCAGTGCAAAATACTGACAGGCAGTGGTGACCACCACTCGTTGCTAAAGCACATGGCACTTGTGCTGCTGATCCATGGGCAGGTTTGGTGGGAAATGGTCTCTAGGGAATTTATTGAACACCATGGAGGAGACACTGGGATCTGTTGGGGTGCCCAGACTCCTTCCAGAGCCCTGGCTTGGCTTCTCAGCAATGCAATTGGTGCTGACTTCAGCAGAGCAGCTTGGGCCAGAGTCTTCTCTTGGCAGCACTGGTGCATCATCTCTCTGATGCTTCTGGGTTCCCGAGAATTTGATGAGTCTGGGTTCCCAAGAGAGCAACGTGGGGCTTCAGTTTCACACAGTTCTCGTCCAGGGTGAGATGGGACTGGTGGGAAATGCAGCTGATGAGCTCTGAAAATCATCTCCTGAAGCACTTTGCTGGATCAGGGCTGTGGGGGGGTCACTTAATGGGGTGAGGAGTTGGGCTGGCGTGATTTGGGAAGCTCAGCATGAGCAGAGCCCTGTGTAGCAGGGCAGCCCTGTAATGGTCAGCCAGGCCTGGGCTCACAGCATTTGACCTTAGCAGGGAGCCAGGGTGAGTGGCTGCTCCAGGGCTCCACAGCCTGTGTCTGAAATCCCTCCCTCCCTTTCTCCCCACAGCCAGCTTGTCAAAAAAAAAAAAAAAAAAAATCAGCAAATTTGATGCAAGCACTCTGCTGAGTGTGGTGGGGGTCCTGGTGGGCTGCAGACCTCCCCCTGCTCTCTCCCTGCCTGCTGGTCACATCCAGCAGGAGCTGGGCAGTCCCTGGTTGTCCTTGTCCTCCTAAACCCATTGTTATGCTACAGGCCACTGGTGTGACTGGCCTCCTTGCAGCCCCTTGCCAGCTGCAGCCTCAACACCTTTGTTCAGTGCCACTCATGAACCTTTGCTGTGTGGATCTCCTGCTTTTTGTGTCTGTCCTGGATTCCTGCTATTGCCCATGCCAGGGAGGAGCTGGTACCCAGATCTTTTCCGCTGCTCCACAGCTCTGAGACCCCAGGGCATGCATGACCCGTTGGGCAGAAGGTTCAGGGAGGTCCTGCTGCTCCACTTCCCCATGCAAGATGCCCTGCAGATGAGGGAGAAAAGCAGTGTGCCATAAGGAGAGGGTTTTGCCAGGATAAATACCAGCCCCTTCCCAAAGCAGTGCTGGAGCTGGGGGTGGCACACAGGGAAGGTGGGTGAGCAGAGCTGCTGTGACAGCTCCTCACTTCCATCTCCTGCCAGGTGCTGAGCAGGCAGGTGGAGCTGCCTCCCATGTGCCATCTCATTTCCCATCCCCACCACCACCACAGTCCCATCCATGCTCCTGAAGCCTTGTCAGCTCTCAAGGAATGGTCTTTACCAGGGTCTGGGAACCAAACAATGCCCCTGGCATTCCTGCTGAGGGAGCAGGCTGTGCTGGTGATGGCAGATATGTCCCTGTCATTGCTGCAGGGAGCTGAAATCAGCTCTCTGACTAATAGGAGGGTTGGGGAAAAGCAGATGAGGGGATTAAAGAGAAATAAAATTGATGCTAGGAAATAGAAATGACAGTACCTGTCGGCTGGGACGAGGCGGGTGGGCTGAAGAGGAGGGTGATGTAGACAAGTGCTGATGGGTTTCACTCCTGGAGCTGTTCAGGAAGAAAGGTGGTTTGGTGTAGAGAGCTGCAGCTGCCTGTGCCATCACAAGCCCAGTTTGCTGGGGCTGGGAGGTGTGGTACCCCAAAGCATTTGCACAGGGAAGGGGCTCTGTGGGGTGACTTGTAGGCAGAAAGTCACAGGGAGCAAGAGGTGAGCAGAAACAAGAAATAGGTCGTGGGTGTTTGATGCTTTGGCAAAGGAAGAAGGATGGGATGGGATGGGTGGGGGCTGTCTAGGAGGATGTTGCCCACCCTCCAACACACTGTGGTGCTGTTCCTAACACAGGAGCCCATTTTTCTTTATTGTTCCCCTTGGCTCACTGGCTCCTAATGCTCTTTTCTTAATGAAATCTGGCAGCATGGTGAGGAATCTGCCAGCGTGGTGTGATCCCCTGGCTGCTCTGAGCAGGAGGAGGTGGTGGGCTTGGGAGAGGACAAGGGACAACCCTAGAAAGTGCTGTGGGGCACCTTTCCTCCAGCAACTGCTCACTGCAGCCTGGTCAGCCTGGCACAGAGCCCCAGGCAGAGACCTTGCTGCACGAGATTTCTGAAGCACGAGGTGGAGGCAGTGTCAGGAACACCCAGAGTGGTGGTTTGAGGGCCAAAAGAGTTTCAATTTTAGCTTTGCCAGTTGCTCTCTTCCTGCCCAGGTGGGTTGGTCGCCTCTGTGGTTTGGGGTTCTTCTCTGTCAGAGGGTGACTGTGGTATTTGCCTCCTCTGTGGGCAAACTGGGAGGGTCCATCAACATTTGGGTGGTGACCTGAGGATGGAGAAGTTGTGTAGAGCTGCACCATGGACATCTGACCAGAACCAAAATTTGTATTCAAAGACAATGACAACCCTTTAGTGTTATGCCTTGAAAATTGCCCTCAACTCTTCTGTCTCTCACTGTTCCCTCTCTGTGTCCTGTTTTGTAGCCCTGCTGCTGGATATCATGATCGTGGCAGGCCTGCAGAAGCTGGCCAAGCGGAAGGGCCCGTACGACATCAACCCTGGCCTGTTGGACTACCTGACCATGGACACCTACGCCTTTCCCGCCGGGCACGCCAGCCGCGTGGCCATGCTCTCCAAGTTCTTCCTCAACCACCTGGTGCTGGCCATCCCTCTGCGCATCCTGCTGGTCCTCTGGGCCCTCTGCGTGGGCCTCTCCCGCGTCATGATCGGGCGGCACCACATCACAGACGTCCTCTCCGGCTTCGTTTTCGGCTACTTGCAGTTCAGGCTGGTGGAGTTGATATGGATGTCTTCCAACACGTGTCAGATGTTGATATCCATCTGGTGAACGTGGAGGACTTGGGAGCTAGAAGATACTTTGAGAGTCCCCCTCCCAGTATTTTCTACGTGTTGTTTGTTGGAAGCAGTTGTAACTTCCATGAGTAGTGGTGTTTTATAATGTTGCTTCCCCACCCTTAAAAAAAAAAGTTTCTTGTATTTTAGAAATCAAGGGCCATACCTGTGTTTGGCCATATTCTCAAGCTGTGTTTGGACAGCAGCCTAATTAAGCTTTACAGGTGAAAGAAATGAGCTCCATGTCTGCCTTCTTTAGGTGGCTCACATTGGCACCTTGATATGTCCTCAGGATGGGCAGTGCCTGAGAGCTTCCTGAGAACACATTTGTGAACTTTTTAGATGATAAATTATTTTGGCCACAGTGCTTTTTTTTCTTTTTGTAAGCCCAGCAGTTGTGTCTTGTACGGAGTCAGGACACTGCTGGTGCTTTACAGATAATAAATAATCATAAAAATCCTGCCCTGTTTGGTTCTTATCATGAGGGAGGGGAGAAAACGAGCCCAGTGTGGCTTTGAGATATACACTCAGCATGGAGCAGGTCCTGAAGTCTTGCTGCCCAAGGGGATGCAAACTTTTGCTTTGGGTGGGGTGGGCCTAGGTGGGTGCTCAGGACACTGAAGGAAAACCTGTTCTGTGAGGGTGCATGAGGAGTTTTTGGTCTGGTAAGGGACACACGATGCCCTGACATGGTGCTGTCTCTTCCCATTATTGACAAATGGCCTCCTTGAAGCCTGGTGGATCCTTATCCAGGTGATGGCCATGCTCAGCGTGCTGTCTCCTAAATAGATCCCTCCTCATAACTGCCATAAGAAAATCCCATGTTTTGAACAGAATGTTCCAGTTCTCTGTGGCCTAGCTGTCTCTAGAAGACAGTTTGATGCTTGGCAGGTGATGGATACTATCAGACATAGCATCTTTCCTGACCGGATGAATCCTGCAGAATGGAGAGGTCCTGTCATCTCTGTCCTCCTGTGGATCCCAAGAAAAATTCACCAGGCTTGCAAGGCCAGGGAGGAGTCAGCTGGGTCCTGTGCTGTCATCTCACCCTGCACATTGGGAGCCCTCTTCCTACAGGGGCTGGTGAGAAGAAGACATTCAGCTAATGACTGTTGCAAGCTGCTGACATTTGTTGCTCTTTGATGATTAATATGAAAAGAAGCTAAACAGAAAATCTATCCCTGGCATGTGTCTCCAGCTGGGATGTCAGCACAGAGCCCTGGGAGCTGCTGGCTCCGAGGCTGGAGCAGGAGCATGGTGAGGGGGGCATCCATGTCCTTCAAAGGCAAGCCTCCCACGGAGCTCACAGATGAGCTGTCCCCTGGGAAGGGCTGTCACCGAGCGTGTTGGGAGAGGGGAGAGCTCAGGGTTGTCCCTGGAGGCTGGAGCAGCAGCAGGCAGAGCAGTGGGGGTGGCGGGTGCTGTCCTGCTTCCCTCCTGCTGCTGTGTGTGGGAGCAGGGATGTGCCACCCTCCCATCAGGGTTTTCCTTTGTCAACCTCCTTCTCCTGCGAAGATTTCTGTGAAGAAGTGAGCTGTGGTGCTTTTTCTTCCTTCCAGGCACTATTACACGTGGCAGAGTTTATCCTCATCCCTAGCAAGGACGGCAGCACGTTCTGAGCTCTGGCTGTGGGTGATGCACCAAGGTGCAGCTGGAGATGACAGGTTCCTGAAGGGGCAGGGAGCAGGTGATGCCTTTTCTCCCATGGCTTTGTGGGAAACACTCACTTTGTAGCTCCAGAATTTACTGAACCTTTGCAAATCGATTGGATGATTCTTCAGCCGTGTCACCAGCTCCAGGATTCCTTGCACTTGTGTTGTCTTCCCTTGGAATATCCAGGGTGGCAGAATGGCTTTGTAGGAGTTGCTCCTGATCTTTGCTGGTGTTATCAGGAGAGCATGGCCTGGAGAAGCTGCCAGTGTGGGTTAGATCAGCTGAGCTGGTCTCATCCCAGCACTTGGTTGCAAAGCAAGGCAGGAGAGCAGGGGGAGGTGAGCTGGGGCAACTCCCAGGGGTAAGCTGGGATTCACAGGCTGGGGCTTTCTCCCACAAAGAGTTTCTCCAGGAAATCTTCCTCCTTAGCCCCCTGCAGCCTGTGCCCCTTATCCCCCACAGTACTTCAGTGCCCTGAGCAATGGAAGAGAAGCTTTTGGGAGACCCCCCAACAAGATGCGTGTGAATTTGGGCACAGAGGCACCAGGAGAGGCCTGGCAGAGCCTTACCTTAGCCATGGCTGCCCTCCCAGCAAGCCAAGACATTCCTGATCCCTCTCTCCCTGCCTGCCACACTGGAGGTACTGCTATGTGGATTTGGGCACAGAGGCACCAGGAGAGGCTTGGCAGAGCCTTGCCTTACCAGAGCCTGGCAGAGCCATGGCTGCCCTCCCAGCAAGCCAAGACATTCCTGATCCCTCTCTCCCTGCCTGCCACACTGGAGGTACTGCTCAGAAACAACCGTGGAGAAAAGCAGCTTCTGTCTCTATAGCAACAGCAAGGGATGGATGGTGGGTGCCTGTCCCCTGTCCCTGTGAGCTGGAGCAGGACACTGGGGCTGCTCTGTGCACATGCTCACCGTGGCCATGTGGGGAGACAAAAAGCCAAATGGTTTGAGCTCCTTCAGGATTGTCCAGGAATGTGAGTGTTTTGCCTGAACCTTCAGATCCCCAAATTCAGCCTGAGAGGTGTGGGAGGAGGAGTGGTCCTTCCAAGCCAAGACCTGTCCAACCAGAAGGATTGACGAAGTCCTGACCATGGCATCTTCTGCCTTTCAGTTCATCTGAGAGATTAATTAAGAAAATGGCCAGGAGGAGACAAGTGCAGTGTGTGGGCTGGGGACTGCTGCCATCAGCACTCCGTGGTGCCACTGGGAGAGTCCCAGGCTGTGTGATGATGGTTTCGTGTGTGATCCTGCAGGGGACAGTGAAAGGCCCCTCCTCCCCTCGCCCTAATGCTGATTATGCTCAGCAGCAAAAAGAGATTTTAATTTATTAAATTTTAAAAAAAGAGAAAAAAGGGTTCCAGGGCCAGGGCAAGTGGCAAATCTGGATTATATCTTTGGGCATATGTGGCAATCGCCTGGGGTGTTTAGTTCTCCTCTCCTCAACCTAAGCTGGTGTTTTTTTTCCTGACAAGCTGTTTTGTACATTTATAGCTGGGGCTGTGCTGAAATGAAGGCAGGACAAATCCTTTCCCACATCAGGGCTGTGCTGCCCTCCCTGCCATGGCAGGGTCCTCTCTGTCCCCCAGGACTCACTCATTGTCTGTGTCCTTCTCAGGATGGGATCTATCCCAGTTTTTCTAACAAATTTCAGCTGAAGGTGAGGGACCTGCAGGAGGTGGTGAGGGTGGGTTGGCAGATTTGAGGATTGAGGGCAGAATTAGAAAGGCTGTCACACAAGGTCTCCCGGCAGTAGCACAGGTGTGGCTCTAGTTCACCCCAGGCTGGGTTTTCTTGGGCAAACACACTCCTTTTGTTCAGTCAGGATGTCTCTGAGGGAGGTGAGGGGACCCATGGGTTTATCTGGCTCCCAGAAGCTCAGTGCAGCACCCCAGCTCTTGTCACAGCCCTGACCCTGCTCCCTGCAGCACCACAGGGTGTGCCTGGCAGCCACAAACTCACTTTTGAAGCTCTAAAATTTCGTTCCAATTAGGGAGAATCACCTGGTTTTCAGTTAAGATTTTTAATTAAAGTGCTAATTAACCATGTAATTTCCAAGCTACAAGTTTAATATATTGGGCAAAGCCTAAGGAAATGAGACACACATCCATTCCAGAGGGTGCTGCAACACGAAAGGTACACAAACACAGATGATGCTTTTTGTGTGGTTTTGGTCACCTGAACTAGAGATGCAGCCAGTTCCTGCCTCAGCACACAGAGACATGGACAGGTAGGCTGCAGGTGGGAGCAGGTGACCAAAGATGTGTTTTTCTCTGGTGTTGACCCAAGTGCCTGGCTGATGTGCCTGTGTCTGCAGGCAGTGCTTGATTTTGGGGTGATGCTGGGGCTCTGCCCCCCAGACAGGCAGGGGTGGGGTTGTTTCATTCCGTGCCTCGCTGGGAGCAGCAGAGATCTCCGTGCTGGTTCGTTCCCCAGGACACAGGAGTCAAAGCGGATTAAGGGTCCCTCGGCTGATCACATTTATTTCATTATTTGAGTGAAATCCCTTGTAAATACCGCCTCCCTCCCTTTTCTTTTTATAAAAATAGAAGGCACGAAAGAATTGGAGATTTAGGAAAAGTTAATCACAGGAGTCGCTTGAAATCCATTAACCTCACACAGCCTGAGCGAGGCTGATCCGTGCCCAAACCCTGCTGCAGAGAGGAGATGCTGAATGGCCTGGGGGGGCCCCAATCCTGCCAAAGAACTTTCCCTGAAAAATACCTGGTTCTTAGCAGGCTGGGTGGTATTACAGCCTTTGTTCACAGTCTGGCCATGATGAAGTGCTAATTGCAGTGTTGGAACAAATTGGCTGAAGCTCCCAGGAGGCTCCAGAGCTCTGGGATCACGTGTGGGAACCCTGCAGCAGATGCTGCTGGCCAGCCTGTGGGCTCAGGGCCATTGGAAATGCCAGTGCTCTTCCCTTTACACTGTGATTCCTCTGAGCTTCTCTGGAGGATGGGACTTGGGCTTTGCACAGGGATCTATCCCAGTTTTTCTAACAAATTGCAAACAGGTGCAGCTGGTCTCAATTCCCGAGGAACTGCCCTGAGTCCCCATCCACCAATATCCCCACACCCTTGGGACTCTCTCTGACTTCCTCTCTTTTCCCAGGACCAGCAGTTTTGTGCAAGACTCTCAGTGCTGGTAAGCCAAACCTGCAGAAATTAATTAAACGAAAAGCAATGGGAACAGAAGCTGAGAGCTGAAATGATGGATGTTCATTAAACACTTGCCCAGAGCCCAAATGCTCTGGGCATTCAGTGATGTTTGCTTCCAGCCAAGGAGCTGTGCAATAGTTAACCACACTCAGTGCAGTGGTGATTAAAGAATCAGCCTCTGCTATCTGGGTGTGGGTGCCCTCTCTCCATTGCAATTTGCACCTTGGAGCTGCCAGCACTGGTTTGTCATGGATTGCTTCTCCTGGTTGTGGGGGGCTTTATTTGCTTTAAATCCTGACCCCTGAGTTGTGTATTAATAGCACGGTAATGCGATGCTTTTGTGCCCAGCACAAGCCAGGGGTTATATAAAACACAGATTAATGGGAATCAGCAAAATACAGGAGCATGTGGAGGGATGCCTTGGAAGGGGAGGCAGGAGGGAGGTGGCAGGTCCAGAGGGTAGAGAAGGTGGCTGAGTGGGTTCAGAGCACTTCCTGGCAGGATTTGCTCCGGTAATTGTTCTGCAGCCCCCAATTCAGGCCGTTTCCTGAAGCAGCATGTCTGTGATCAGGGGTCTTTTGTCCCTGGGTGATAACGAGGCAGAAAGGCTGGAAATTTGAGTGGAAATGGCTACTTTTTGCCT